ACATCAATATCATCAAATTGAATCATTGCTAGTTGAAAACATTACATTAAATATTTGATCATTTTCTCTTGAAAAGATTGATGTAAATCTATTGGAAATCATTTTCAAAAGAATCAATCTCAATAATCTAACTTCATACTCGTTCACGAAAGAAAATCTTCGCGCATTTAATTTTAATATATGTAGCATATTTGTATCAAAAATAATATGGTCAACGAATTGTACACTTCAATATTTGACGATAAACAGCAGCATAAATGTTGATGAACTTTATGATATATCCCAGATGCAAATCTTCTCTAGAATATCAATTTACAGTGTATCAAACTTTCTTTATCCAACTATCCTAGATTGTCAAAGACAATCAAGCAATGACGAGAAATATCGAATCATTAACTGTAACTCTAGGCAGTTCAGTGACCCATTACATAGACAAAAAAGTATGTTTCATATAGGATCAATTCTGAAAAATTCTATTTTCATCTATTATTAAGAAGCAACAACAACAACATCACCTCTGTTTGTCAATGTAACTGAAATTGATATTGAAAATACACCTGATTGACCTCTACCTTCAATGGAAGCACCTTCTATACTTAACAGTTATTTTTACAAATTTTCTAAAATAATCGATGACCTATCCTTGATCATTTCAATGTGTCTCAAACATATCAAAACAATTCTAGAAAGATGTGAAAACTTGCATATAGTTGAATTTAATTGACGATATTATTACCATCAATAGAAATAATCGAATGGCTTGCTGATACTACTATTGATTCAACATGTTTCAGGGAGCATGGCCATGTCTACTGTATGATTGAGAAAGAAAATAATTTAATCAATTAAGAGTATGACTTTCCGACCTCATTGTTTAAGTTCTAAATTAGATTGTTAATCAATCTATATTAAAACATATAAGAATGTTTTTTTTCAATTTAATTGTCAACACATGAATAAAAAGTGCGTATTTCGTGTGTATGATCATTTTTTTAGTATCATTATTTGCCGAGGAAGGGAGAATAAACGAGCATCCCGTATGCTGTCCATCTTTACTTTTACATTTTAATCAAGCAGGACAAGGATATATGCATGTTGAGGTTGTTCTCTCTCAACTTTTGATTATTCATTGCGAATCTGATTCCCTGGAAATTTATTTGGTTTGTTAAAAGCTCGTACGAAGCATAATATGATCGTTTAATTATATTTGACCGTAACTTTAAATCATTATAAATCCGTTATCTCCAAAATTGACATGTTGATGATAGTTGAATTAAAATTTTCAAAACTAAATAACTTAATACAATGTCAATTAAATCAAGACATGCTCCAGAATTTATGCTAAACTGACTTGAAACTGAAAAGAAATTTGATCATAATATTCACATCAGATAAATATGCTTATAAATTTCTTCCATAACTTACAGCCGCCTATGATTCAATCAGATTATTTGTTCTGATGTTGTTTTTTTAAACACCCATGTAATCATAAAACGCATTTTTGACGCGTTTAAACGCATCTGGAATTGAAACAGCCTCCAAACGCATTGCAAAGTCTTGCATGCGTTCAGACGCGTTTCGTGACTAGAACGCATCACAACTTATTTACAGTAGGTTTTAAACGCGTTTCAACGCGAACAGTATCATTTTTGGATCGGAATGCGTTCATATCTGGAAATAATATTAACTTAGACGCATTTGAATGCAATTGCTTTTACTTTTGCATCCGAATGCGCTTCCCCGAAATGCAGCTAATGCTTTTGAGTTCCAATCGTGCATGTAAATGTAGTTTCTTTTTCTGTTTTGTATAGATAAGATGCATCTGAACGCGTTTCTAGCTGCAAGTGCACATAATGCTATCAATAATGCAGATTACTTCGTCACAATACGCGTGACTAGATCTCGAACAGTAAACTGAACTACGTATTTTTTATTTAAAAAAGTATAAAAATTATATAGTTAATTATATAGATGACGTATTTAAGTCTTACTGTGTTTCGAATTCTTAAAGAGGATTCTTCTTGATAATCTACAGTTTCAAATATCAGTGGCTAGCATTGCATGAAGCAGAATATAAACACAAATAGTTGGATACGAGAAATCTCATCATATTTGTGTTCAGCATATAAAGTCAGGAAGACTTAGTTAATCTATGAAATAGAAACAAATGAGTATACGTATCAAATTTTGAAATGTACAGAACATTCATTCAAAAACGGTATTACAATAATATTATTTTGCTGCATGTCACTACCAGCACTTTTTTCCCGAAATCAATTTCGCTCTTGTATAACACATATGTTAAGCGTAGCAATTTAAATTTCAAAATAAATAAAATTTAAGTATTAAGCAAAAATGTCCATTTTAACTCAAACATGAAGTTCAAAGTTAGTTTCCATGTAAACCTATTAGAGATAAAAACAGATAAGAAGTAGAAGAAACAAATGAATCTGGATGTAGCTTAGACACAATGGTAGAGTTGCTTTCAAACACAACTTGAAATAGAATTGCGTCTGAATGTGGCTAAAAACAACTTAAAATAGCGTCTAAATGCAGTCAGAACACAAAATATGCATTCAAACACTATTGTCATCGGGCGTTTAGATGCATCCATGTGCAACAAATATTTTATCTGGGTTGGTTATGAACGTATTTACAATACATTTAATGTTTATGTGTTAAAGTCTAAAGTTTTTTCTATTTCTTCATATACGAATTCTTACACTAAAGAGTCATATGTGACAGAAGAAACAAAATGCATACAATCGTCTACAAAATACGCAATTCTTTAAATTTACTTTTTTCAATTTCTACTACTTTTTTTTTGAAAAGTAAATTCTATAAAGTTTATCTTCACGTCGCTATGATTAAAAATTTCATTCAAAGTAAAAAAGAAAAAGAAAAAATAATTACTTAATTTGAATTTAAAATTTAAATTAATTGTTTTTTACTTTAAAAAGACAAAAAAGTTAAGATGCTGCATCCATTGAGCATTTATTGAATAAGCAACTAATTATCGAAAAAACCGTTTTTCTCGTATTCTGTGATCCAAAAACTATAATTATTGTTTTTATAAACTTAATCATATCTGACCGATGTCATGGATGCAATTTTAAGTGACACTGGTAAATTAATAAAATGAAAATATTTCAAAGTTCATATAATTTAATGAAGCAATTGCTATAAATTGATCTTTTTCCTCTATAAAAAGTCACATGATAATAACAGATAAGACTGTAAGAGTATTTATAAATTCGTGGTAAGTTCAATGTCTTTCATTATGTAGGCATCATGATCGAATCTCGTTTGTTACACTCTATTCAATAACTTAATAATGTGTTAAATTGAAATAAAAATATCACGTAGCGATGAAAATGGATCGATACCATGATATAGAGCACAATTTTTTAAAATTTAACAAATTTTAGATATCCTAAAACGCGTTTCGACGCGTCTAACAATAAACAACGTCAGGATGCGTTTCTCTATTGTAGTTTGTTCTTTCAATTCATTAACTACTTCTACAAAAGTCGTTCAAACAAATTTTGCAATGAGAGATATTTCAAATGAATAATCAACATTTTGAATTTACACATCGCTGATGTGAATCACACGAATGTTAAAATATAATCAAGAACGTAATGAAATTCTCTGATCAAAGACCATATATATGCCTTCAATTATTAAGTGAAAACTTTCCTCGTATCTAAGGCACGTTCGTAATTTTTTTTCTGAATGTCATGCCTATCAGAAAATAGATCAAAGTTTAGAATGGGATTAATATAGAGAAGTATTCGTCCAATGTCATCGTTGAAATGAATTGTATCATTAAAACATAAAATTAGATCATAAAATTAATTGTCATTGAACAGAAATATATGTCTTCAGAACTCGTTGGACATCACGTTATCTTAATGTTGAAAATAGTTATTCCAACATTACTGTTGTATTCTTCTTGATCTCATATCTCTCTGAGAATATCAAGCTATTCAGTGACTATTCATTTCGTGTCCAATTATAAGATTATATAAATAATGAGCCTGTTTATATTAACGAACAGGAAATTTTCTTGAGAAATCTTTACAATGTCAAACAGCTGTATTTGATATTGAATTATTTTGACAACAAAAGTGTTTTAAGTCAGTGAAGTAAAAAGCAAATTTGAAAATTGAATATAATAACATAGAATTTCTTATTGGTCCATTCACTAGATAATAAATTCTTTTCAGAGAGAGAAAAGAATCTTATTCTTTTTTTTTCCTCTCTCTCTCTTTTTATAATTATATATAAATAAAACTTCATTATTAATGATTATTTATTTTTAAAACAAGATTATATTTGCTCTGCTTAACAATGACAAGTTCCTATAGTATTTTAAATGAGAAAGATCTTGGTAATCCATATGAATTACGCATATCTGTTTATACACGATTTTGGCTTTATCTTATTCCGAATATTTGCTCAGTATTCTGTTCATTTTTTGTTTTATATCATTTTTTATTTGATCGAACACTTCGTCAAGCTCTAAATAATCATATAATTATTGTTCTTCTTTTTATTGGTTTAATATATGAAATAACAAGTGTTCCATTAATGCTTTATTGGTATCAAGTTGGTACAGCTTGGAAATTTACTCTTACCTTTGCTCATTTTTGGACATTTGTTGATTATTTATGTTATTCAACACAAATTGTTGGTTTTGCTTATGCTTCAATTGAACGACATATTCTTATTTTTCATAATAATTGGGTATCAACAAAAAAGAGACGTTTTTGGGTTCATTATTTTCCTTTAACATCAGTTTTGATCTATAAGATTGTATATTATGTGTGGATTATTCTATTTCCATTTTGTGAAGAGGTTATTCGTCAATCACCATTCAATGGTGTTCCTATGTCTTGTGTATTAGGAGTTCCATTTTTTTATAAATATAATACAATTAGTCATCAATTTGTTCCAGTAGGACTTATAATTATATTGAATATTGCTCTTTTTTTACGTGTTATATGGCAAAAAACTCGCATGAATCGATCAGTTGAATGGAGAAAACAACGAAAAATGACAACTCAATTATTATCAGCATCAATTCTCTATTTTATATTTATGGGTCCAAGAACATTGTTTCAATTCTGTAGATTTCTTGGGTTAGAAACAAATGATATATTGGTATTATATTATCATAGTGCTTTTTTTGCAAATTATATTATGTTTCTTTTTCCATTTGTTTGTTGTGGATCGATACCTGAAGTTGGAAAAAAAATTAAGAAAATTTTTTTCTGTCGAAAACAACGACAAATTATTGCTCATTTACCTTTAAGTGCGAATGCTCCAATACAAAAACGAACAAATCAAATAGTTCCAACTGCTCATTTATAATATAATTTTATTTTCTGTTGTCTTTTAATGTTGTACACACATAAAATACAATGATCTTTATTAAATGAAATGTTCATAACTTTGTAAATAAACAGATATTATTTATTCATTATTAATATGTACTCTCTCTTTTTGTGGAATGGGTAAGTATGAATGAGAGATCCTTCAATATTTACATGATCAAATATA